ACGTATTTTCACACGTAGATTACAGGAAAAATATAGAGAATGTGATTGGAGGTGATGGTCAGAGCGTTGTCAAAGAAATAACAAGATTTTTGGCCAAAAATGTATAAAAAGTGACCATTCCCCTCCCCTTAACTTCTAAACTATTCAACATGGAGGGCTAAAATTTGGCATACTGGTGTATTTTAACGCGAATATTACAGGAAAAATATAGAGAACTTGCTATGTAATAATGGCCATAGCGTTGTCAAAGAAAAACTAAAAAAAATTTTTTCTAATTTTTACATTATTTGATCTAATTAACTAAAAATGAGTTTATTAGTATATTTTTATAGTCTGATCACAAAAAATATATTAAAAAATCTAAAAAAAAATTTCAATATTCTGTGTGCTCTTGAACGGGTTTCGTATTCATTATTTTTATTTAATCGCATTAGTTAAACATTTTCTAAGTAAACAATTTAAACAAAAATGAGTGCCCCCGACGCGAATACTTTGTTTCATTACCTTTACAATGCTCTTACGTGTGTACCAGAATTCGACGGTTATAAACCAACATTGAGATCTTTCGTTTTTGATGTTAAAAATGCCGAGAAACTTTTATTACCGGGATGTTGTAAGGAGCTATTTACGCGAAGTGTCATTGCCAAATTAAAAGGACCCGCGAAAGAAGCAGTAGATGGACAAGATCTCGTTGATATAAAAGGTTTAATTAAACATTTGAAAAAACGGTTTACGAACGCTCGAAATTTTAAATCTTACCATCAAGAACTAGCGCGCGTGGCAATGTTACTCGAAGAAAATGTCACACAATATGAAACGCGTGTACAGAACATAGTGCGCAGTGCTAAGGCTGCTCTTGCCGGAACGGCAGAGGAAGCAAATTTAGATTCTCTTCTCAAGGCAATCGACCCTGTAGGTTGTTTTCTAGACGGTTTTCCCCCAGACGGTTTGTCCCCAGATATCGAAGTTCAAGTTTCTCCACAAAAACCTGCGTCTCTTGAAGAAGCAATCGATTTAGCTCGTGAAGAGGAACGTCGTGCTCGTTATCGCTTGCGAACGCGTGAATCAGCTGTTAGATACTCTCGCCGTGATTTTTCTCCTTCTTACGGGGAAGAGCGCTATTCAAACAATTATCTTGACAGAGATGTTCAACGAGAATATCCACAAAGACCTGTCGCGCAATATCCTTCATAACACGATCGTTATCGTAACGAAAACCGTACAGAAATGTATAACCCACACCGACGATCACCTTCTCCTGGTTATCAGCGTTATCCTTATAATGAAAATAAAGCACAAGAACACCCTGTGCATATTCTTGAACGCGATCATGTCTTCCACCCTGCGTCAAAATCGCCTACACGAGAAAATTTTGATAGACAGAAAACTGTTACGTGGAAAGATCGTACGAATTCCGACCTTAACGGGCCCCTTTTTGCTCCTTTTGCAACGACGTAGGACACGAAACGTTCAGGTGTAGAAACCCTTCCAACCCTAGACGCCCAAAATCTCCTGCACTTTTTAACCCTAAAAATTCTAATTCAAACAATCAGGCAGCGGGTCCGAGCAAAACTCAATCCGAGCATTTAAACTCACGAAGCGCTCGTCGCCAGAACTTGCCGGCGAGCGCCCCAGCGATGCATTCCCGGGTTGCGGTGGCCATTATGCAGTCAGATGCGAAGACTGTTATTCCCGATGTCCGGTTGTCCAAGTTGAGGTTAGACAGTTAAAAACAAAAAAGGCTATTTTTCTCGTAGACACAGGTTGCGCAATAAATTTAATTAAAAAGGGTTGTTTAAGTTCCGAAGCTCAGGTTAATAACCTTGGACGAATAACAATTACAGAAATTACCAAGGTACCAGACGAAGTTAAAGTTCCAGATGATGGTATTTTGGGAGGTGACTATTTCTATCAGGAAGAAGTAACAATCTCTTATCATCATAAATCGATTGTTACTGTTAGTCGACCTATTAGTCCGATACCATTTCTCAATTCACAAAATTTTCCAGACTAAAATCAAAATTTAAACTTTCTACATCCAATAAAGACACCGGTTCTTTTTTTCAAAGCCCGCACGCGTCAAGTCATTCCTATCGAAATTACGAATAGCGATTGTAAGGAGGGATATCTACCATTAGTCGACGCCGGAGCAGGCATTATTATTGGTAATGCTGCAGTAACCACCGAAAATGGTCACTGCCTATAATGTCAGCGATGAAGATGTCGCTCTCCAAGTAGCCCCTTAAGAAATAATACCCTACGATCTCTACGATAACAAATCTGAATCCGATTCAGACGAAATTTTCGAGAAAATTGTAGAAGATAGTTATAGTTCGCTGCCCCGTCTCTCTAAACGACAAAGAATTCGCAGATTATGCGAATTAGTAGGAGTAAAACAACTTCCTCTCGAAGAACGTAATAGCGTATTAGAGCTCATTAAAGAATTTCCTTATATTTTCTATCTTCCAGGAGATAAATTTCCATGCACGTCACTGGTTCAACATTTTATTCCAACAACTAATGGCGTACCCTTATCCACCAATCAGTATCGTTATCCGCCGGTTTATAAGGAAGAAGTGAGGAAACAAATTACGAAATTGCTCAAACTAGGTGTTATAAAAGAATCAAGTTCTCCGTAAAATTCGTCTCTTTGGATTGTTCAAAGAAACCGGACGCCCATAGCAAACGTAAATGGCGTATGGTAATTGATTTTCGCGCGTTAAATAGTAAAACGATTGGCGATGCGTTTTCCTTGCCTAGATAATTTGGGAAAATCCAAATATTTCTCTGTGTTTGATTTAGCGAGCGGATTTCACCAGATTCCGATGAATCCAAGTGATACCGCGAAAACAGCATTTTCTACAGATAACGGACACTACGAATATTTGCGCATGCCTTTCGGATTGAAAGGAGCACCCGCGACTTTTCAACGGTTAATGAATCGTGTGCTAACTGGACTTCAGGGAACCGAATTATTCGTTTACCTCGATGACATCGTGATTTTTGCATCGAGCATAGATAGAAGATCACACGGGTAAAACAAGACGCCTTTTTAACCGCTTATCAGCATCCGGTCTCCGGTTACAACCAGAAAAAATTGAAGCAGTAGAGAATTTTCCTAGGCCGAAAAATCAGAGGAGCATAAGAGAATTCCTCGGACTTGTTGGTTACTAAAGAAAATTCATTGCTGATTTTGCACGAAGGACAAAACCGCTTTCTGATTTATTAAATGTGACGCGACACGAGAAAAGGGACCTATCGCCGCAAAAGAGAATTTTACAGGGAGAGCGTTTAAAGCGACGCCATGCGCAGAAAACCCGTGTATTTACGCGTACATGCTTAACTTTCGGGCTTTATATTATTAACACTATTTAAGTTTTTCAACTTTTGATTTTTTCACGTGAAAAAGCAAAGAATAATCTGTCGAATAACACCATAATCTCAAAATCGATTTTTTTAACGATAGGTTCCTTTTCTCGTGTCACTGACCATCAAGCTTTAGTATGGCTTGGAGAGGGACACTTCAACTTCTGAGTTCGACTCGAGTTCGAAATCTCAAAACACGCTTCGAAAAAAACAAACAAATGAACGGTACGAAATTGACGACGATTACGTTCCGCCCGCGCAGTTGAATTTACAACCATTATCGTTAAAAATTTATACCCTTTAATGGCCAGTGGGACACATGTCACTTTTTAAAAATTCAAAATGGCGGATCCAATATGGCGACCGAAAAATTTTAAAATTCACTAGATGCGCGTGAAACTTGTCACAAGAGTGTTTTCGGGGTCGCTGATTACGAATATGATATCAGTTTTTAAAATTTTGAAACTTTGGGTTAAAAATATCACTATAATTATAGCTCTGGCTTTATTTCTTTTTTATTGCCTTGTTGATGGAATGAATAATATTTTTTAGAATGGTAATACCTTTAATAATAATAATAATAATAAAAAACAAACCTCAAATTAAACTAAAGTTAAATGATAAAAGATGAAGTGTTATTTCTACCAACATTGTTTCTTACATACAAATTTAAATAGAAAGGTAGGAAACTTAAGTGTTAAAAGCTTAAAATTAAATGAATGGATAATAATAATCCCTTTTGTATATTTCAAACCACAAGTTCTAGGAATTAAGAAGTATTGTTTAATAAATTCCAAATACATAAAGTAGATAATAATAATAACTAAATTTCGATAATTCCATACAAAAAGATGTAGGAATTACTTACACATACTACAAGTAAAAAACGGATAAATAAAAAAGTAGATAATAATAATAATAATAATAATAATTTTTGATAATTTTAACGACGAAATGTAGGAATTAATTACGCACAATTAAAAAAACGCATTAATTAAAAGTAGACAATAATAATTTTTTAAAAATACCATATGACGAGATGTAGAAAATGTTGACGCACACAACAAGAAAAAAACGCATAAATAACAACTAGATAATAATTTTTTATAATTTCGCACATTGAGATGTAGACATTATTTACACACAGTACAAGAAAAAAAACGCATAATTGAAAAAGTAAATAAAAATTATAACAAGTAATTTTTGCCTATTCCATATGACGAGATATAGGAATTACTTACACATACTACAAGTAAAAACGCATAAATAAAAAGTAGATAATAATAATAATTTTTGTTAGTTCGATACGACGAGATGTAGAAATTGTTTACGCACACCACAAGAAAAAAACGCATAAATAGAAAGTAGATAATAAGAATAATTTGTGTTAGTTCCATACGATGAGATGTAGAAATTGTTTACGCACACTACAAGAAAAAAAACGCATAATTAAAAAGTAAATAATAAGAATAACTTTTGTTAGTTCCATACGACGAGATGTAGAAATTGTTTACGCACACCACAAGAAAAAAACGCATTAATAAAAAGTAGATAATAGTAATAATTTTTGTTAGTTCCATATGACGAGATATATAGAAATTGTTTACGCACACTACGTCGGTTTTACGCGTGAATTAACTGTCATGAAATTTTTTGAAGCAAGGTTCTACACAAAGAGGAACGTCGCAAACTTTGCACACATATTTAGTTCGAATTTCTTTTTCCTTAGTGCTGCAAAAGCGACATCGTCTACGAGATTCAATAGACTCCAATACATGTTTACTTAATTGAACTTTTCTACTTTCTTGTAAACGGTTTATTTTTTTCCCTACGAAATTGTTTGGACGACCTGTACGTTTTCGATAAGTAGTATTCGATATTAGCTGTTTAGTTAAATTCACACGAAAATCGAGATGAGTTTTCTTAGAATCTTTATTTTTTACTTTGTACATTATAAACGAATTGACAATCGCTAAGTCAATTAAAAAATAAAAGATTCTATGCCACCACTTACGAGATCGTCTGCCGATGGAATATCTTTCTTTTAGTTGATCAAATCTATCAACAGCTCCCATGATTTTGTTGTAGGATGATACTGCAAGAGGACAAGACACATCTATTTTTTTCCAGTTTTAGTTTTCCTTTTTACAGCACTTACAACACTTGGATGATGCGCTGATGACAAGCGTCACTGGCTTTGCATCCATCCATTTTATAGCAGTAACAGCACCTTTTCTTTGAAATACGTACTCACCTCTTTGCATTTTCGATTTTTCCTTCATCATGTCAGGAAGTCCTATTCGATTCGCCCTTACGGTACCAACTGAGAAAATCCCTTTTTCATGAAGGCTAGATACAAGTTTCACAGACGTGAAAAAGTTGTCGAATGCTACCAAAGTGCCAGTGTCAAATTCCGTCAAATTCAGAACAACGCGTTCTCCAAATGTATCGTTAGAATTTTTGTTTTCTGATTTACCAGTATAAATTTCGAAATTAGAAACAAAGCCTGTTACAGAATCGGCTAAGCACCAAACTTTGTACCCTCTTTTTATCGGTTTCATTGGATTGTACTGTTTTAGTGAAGAACGTCCCTTAAATAAAATCATAGATTCATCAATTGCAGCAAGATTGGAAGGTTTATAAACGTCTTTTATTGACCTATTCAATGCTTCGACTAAAGGCTTCACTTTATGTAATTTATCAAATCTTGAATCTCCTTTGGGAAAACAATTGTTATTTTTATTCAAGTGCAACATTGCAGTGATTTTTTGAAAACGATTTCGAGTCATGACGTTTGCAATTACATCTACTCTGAGAGCAGGATCCGAACTCTAGTACAAATCTACACTCGGTAATTTATGAATCGCCATAAAAACGTTCATTCCAATCCAAGCCTTCAATTCTTTTGCAGTCAAATCAATCCAATCATTATCGGATCCAGAGGACCTACGTGTTTTTGAAGATTTTCTTTCTTTTTGTGCAGCATATCTGTTAGCTTCTTCAACTATTTTAGTCAGTATATTCTCGCTGAAAATAGAAAGAAAATATTCAATTTCACAAGTATCGTTTGTCAAGTTAAACAAAAGTTCTGGATCCGTTTTAATGCCATTAAAAAGATTTAACCTTTCGGTGGATATCGACCAATCTAGATCGTTACTAGCATTATCAGTGTCCTCAGTTTCAGATGATAAACTTTCTTCATCACATGAACTAGAGGTAACATCTGATTCTTCTTCTGATTCTATATCCCCTTCTATTTCAGAATCATCAGGATCATCTGGAAGTGAGGCTAATTTATTCGGGATCTTCTTTTGTCTACTCCTATTCATTTTGATTTATTTTTGGAAAATATAAATAAAATTCCAAAAATTTTGTGCAAAAGGCAAATTGGTGAAAATAAGCTTGGAGAACGCTACATGCAGGAAATGAAACGACGCGCTGCTGGGGTCATAACAGCAGTTCCACATAGGAGTGTTTGTACTACTGTCGTACCCCCACTATCTCATCTACCCAATGCATTCCCCTCCACAACGTCGTGGAGAGGAGTGCATTGGGTAGATGAAATGATAATATGATAATAACTAGTAAAAATTATTTTTTTTTATTGTTGAAAACTGAAATCACGATATAAGTTATGAATTAGGGGTGGGTTTTATTATTATTATATTTAATTATATATTTATATTCAATATCAGTACTTAGTTATCATAGAAATATTTTTTCATATTTTCGAAACGTATGGAAACAATGGAAATTATTTTTTTGATTGTTCAAAACTAAAAAAATTATGAATTAGGGGTGGGCTTTAAGGGTAGGGGTGAGTTTATTATTATTATAGATATCTGTGTAATTTTTAAATATTTGTTTATAATTTAAAAGCAATTAGAATTTATAGATTTTTTTAATCATTTGTAAAAACTTTCACGACCGAGGGGTGGTAATTTGACTTAAAGGGTGGTTTTCTAGGGGTTGATTATCATTGTTTTCAATTTTTAAATATTCAGGGGATTTTTATAAATAATTGTAAAGTAGATAGGAGCTAAAAAATGTTTAATTCTTCAATCAGATTAAATATCAATTTTTTGGGGTAGTAATTTACCATGGGGGTGGTTTTAAGGGGTGAAACATGTTAACAAAATTTTTTTTCTCATACTGAATACTTTATTAAATAAATCTAATATACATTATGACTTTAAATTAACCACAAAAAACTCGGCCATTAAAGGGTTAACGAATCAACTCCCATTGACATAACCGTTAATGTCGATTCTACTCCAATGTTAGAATTATCACCTTCATCGGAAAAAGAAGATGATAAAAACGACGAATCAAATTCTTTTCGATCAAATTCTAATCATGTTTCCACTTCGGAAGATGAAAATCAATTGACAGTTATCGAAAAAACAATTCTCGCACCCGATCATTAAGCCGAGAATACACCGTTTATCAAGTTTCTTTCTCCTGAACAAAACCCATTAGACTCTGAATCGGAATACTCTGAAATTGAGTGTGAACAAACCATTATGCCGACAATAATGGAAACGTCTATTCGAAACTCTTCAACCAATTTGGTAGTTCCCGAAACTCGAGACTTTTCGAATTTGCCTAGCACATCTCTGTCTACTCCTATCTCGCGACAAAGTACAGATATTGTTGTACCACAAAAGGAAAATGAACTAAAAACGCTTGGTTTGTACGAGTCAATCCCACCGCTGTCAACAAAATTTCTTATGTTACGGAACTAACATCTAATAACACAGGTCAACAAAAAAAGACTAACATTTTTTTTATGAGATATAGGAATGGTTTCCGATGTATTTTTGGACGCTGAACACGATCCCGACTTCCAAAATTGCCCATCACGTCAGGATTTTGAGAAAAGTGGGGGTAAAGACCCCAAAAACGCTTTTTTGAGGATTTTCAACATTTTTTTTTCTCTTTAACCTGACGTGCTAGAGACTTCCACAAGGTCTTAAATTAAAGCTTGTAATGTGCACTACAAGACCCATATCCATAAAATAAAAAAAATTCAGATTTTTTTTAAAAATGGGGTTGAAGACACTAAAAAATGTGTGTTTTTGGATTGCTTTAATAGACTTCTTGCAATTGCTTGGATTCGATTGAAAATGGTTACTTAGGGTTTTTGGGGTCGCTGATTACAAATCCGATATTAGTTTTCAAACATTTAAAATGGCGAATTCGTAATCAGCGATCCCAAAAACCCTGAAGTAACAAACTTTTAAGCGAATCCAAGAAATTCTTAATTTTTATATCTGCCATCTTGGTTCCGACATTTTAAATTTTTAAAAACTAATTTTGGATTCGTAATCTACGACTCCAAAAACCCTGAGTAACAAATTTTAAGCGAATCCAAGCAATAGCATGAAGTCTATTAAAGCAATCGAAAAACCCACCTTTTTGGTGCCTTCAACCCCATTTTTTAAAAAAACTTCTAATTTTTTTTATTTTATTGATATGGGTCTTCTAGTGCACATTACAAGCTTTAATTTAAGACCTTGTGGAAGTCTCTAGCACGTCAGGTTAAAGAGAAAAAAAATGTTGAAAATCCTCAAAAAAGCGTTTTTGGGGTCTTTACCCCCACTTTTCTCAAAATCCTGACGTGATGGGCAATTTTGGAAGTCGGGATCGTGTTCAGCGTCCAAAAATACATCGGAAACCATTCCGATATCTCATAAAAAAAAAGTTAGTCTTTTTTTGTTGACCTGTGTAATTTATAAGTTAAATTATATAAAAATAACTTAATTTCCAAACTTTCGAGCGGTAAAAAGAATGGAATTGTGAAACTTTTTTTATTTAAAGAGTTAAAACTCACCTTAATTTATTGATTTGGTAAAAGAGGAAAGAAAAGTAAAACAAAGGGATTTTAGAAAAATTTATAATTTTTTATAAATAGGAGTAGTTATTTACTGTGTAATTTTTAGTTACTTACAATACCAATAATCTGCATAATACGTAGTTTCGAATTTAACCAAATTAGCAAAATGATTTTATTATTTAGTGATTAAATAATTATAAAAAACAGATATTAATAGTCTGAAGTGAATTTTAGAAAATAATAAGTTTGACGAAATGTACAATTATTACGCGGATTAAAAATTATAATGTTGTAGAGGTTTAGTTAATTAATTCGTTCTTTTATTCAATGAAAATTTAGTTTCTTTAAATGTTTGAACTTTCACCTTTACTGAAAACTAACCAAGGAATTTAATCGTTTATTCGGAATCGCGGTTTCAACTAATTTTTGTTTGCGAGACTCAAAACTTTGAACCTCAAGACGCGATATCTATTAGAGCGAAAGCCCAAAAAAATCGAAAGTAATTAGAACAAGTCTAAGAGAGAACTTAACTCAAAAATGGTGTACAACACCCTCGCAACCCAGGAATCCATTCCCACTCTTCAGAATTTGCAATTTTTTAAATGGTAGGGGTAAGTTAAGGTGGTGCTAGGGCCCAAAGGAAAAAAGGGAGTTTGCAAATTTTGGGAAAACTAAAAAACCCTAACGTCACTGTCGATGGCCTGTGAGTCCAATTTTTATGATCTGTACAAATTCGATTGTGGATTGCCTTAATGGTCGCTTTTACAACTTGTTGTTTTGAGACCTTTTAAAAGATTAGACTTCCACTTTTATTGGGTGCACAATATTTCAATAAAATAATTGTACAAATGTTTATTCTAGAGATTTACTTTTAAAAGATTTTTGGCACTTATCGACTATCGTTGAGATAGTTTTTATGGCATTTTTGTAATGGTTGCTTACAACTCCGAATTCCAAGGGTTTATAGATTGAAATAATTCAGACTAAAGGATTTTACTGCTTTATATTCCCTTTGAGCAGAAAAGACAACCTAAGCCACGAGCATAATTGACTACCTTTTGGTTCTTTAATTGAGAGTAATTTATATAGAAATATTGAAACGATTGTTATCAGCATGAGTGAAAGTTCGTATAAATAATAGATAGAAATAATAATATATTTCAAGGTAATTAATAATAAAAAGTGTTTAGACAATTATTAATGAGTATAAGAAAAGTGAAATAAATATTAGTCACAACCAACATGCTTTACTCTCACACACATACACAATGGGTAGCATGTATTATAATTATTAAATAATACGGTTCATTCTGCATCCCCCTTCCTAAGACTTATCAAAAAGAAAAACGTGTGAGTCTCGGTCGTGCGAAAATGGAACGTAATGAAACTGTTTCTAAATTCGGTTCTCGCTTACAGCATATTGTTTGACAAACTAAAGTTGCTCTTCTCACATCTGTATCCTCAGATGACGTTGTGGCGTGGCAAAAATTTTAGAGAAATTTGTGAACAAAATTAATTCATAAAATTATAAACAAACAAACTCCCTCGCGCCGATCAACAATGGCTGCAGCAATTTCTCAGTTCTGGTCAAAATATTTATTTATAGAATTTATTTATTTATATTATTGTATTCCCTTTTCATAAAAAACTCAGGAAGCGAGAAATTACAAATTTAAATATACCCCGGTGTCACTATTTTTGACAGTAATTACGCTCCTGTTTTCGGCGGAGTAATACAAGTTTTGGGACCATGGTAACCGGCAGGGTGAACGGAGGGGGAAAATCAAGGCAGCATGCTCATCAGGAAAATTCGTATCGTCCTCTTTGGATTTAGCAGCCTACCAGGACAGCAGCTCGCTATTCTACTCTTCGCTACCATCCCAAAATTTAATTTTCTAAGTTACTTTTTTTGTGCAAATTGTGTTCTTCTTGGACTTCTCGATTTCACCAATT